TTTATATTGGAGTGTACCTGATTAACAATGTTTGTTAGTTTCAGGTGTACAGCAAAGTGATTCAGTTATACATATTCATGTATCTGTTCTTTTTCAAATTCTTTTCCCATTTAGGCTGTAACATAATATTGAGCAAAGTTCCCTGTGCTATACAGTAGGTCCTTGTTGATTATCTATTTTAAATATAGCAGTGTGTGCATGTCAATCCCAAACTCCCAATCTAGCCCTTGCCCTGGTAAAATAAAATATAAAATGCTTCACGTATTTGCGTGTCATCCTTGTGCAGGGACCATGCTAATCTTCTCTGTATTGTTCCAATTTTAGTATATGTGCTGCCAAAGCGAGCATGAGGAATTTTCATTTCTAAGTCTTCACCAGAAATCACATCATTATGTGCTTTGGATTTTGTTTTTCACACCTATCATTAAATCATAAACATATTCCATATTGTTAAATTGTTGTTATAATTATCATTTTAGTGACTTCATTATATGTCATAAAATTTATTCCATTAAAATTTCCTTAGTCATTTTTTCCTTATTAGATATTTAGACTTTTATTTCTCTCAAATTTTAATTATTATATATAACCTTGATATAGTACACAGTTTGTGCATATGGCTTCACTTTTATTTAGAATCAGTTCCTTAGGAAAAGTTCCCAGACGTGATATTATCATGTCACATAGTCAATGTATTTTGATATGTGCCAGCTTTTATCATGAGTCAGCACTAAATATTATAAATCTGAATATATATATCTACCAATATGCTGGGTGTAAGAGGCATTTTTATTTAGGTAATAAGATAGAACATTTTTCCATGTTTGTTTTTTAATTATTTTTCTACTTTTGCTCACCAGTTATCAGTATTTATGCTTTATAAACTTATCTTTTGTGGATTCTGTGTATGTCTTAACAATATGTAATTTTCTGCAATAACATAAATATTAAAATAAGTAATTTTCTGTAATAACACAAATCTTCTTCCCATATTAATATTTAAAAATTAAGTGAGGATGAGGTTGGTAGGCAACTTTGGGTTCAGATGTACTTATGAATTTGACTTATTTTGGGGTAGATTATCAAGAAAAGTTAATGTGTGTGTGTATATATATATATAAAGAATTGTGCTAGTGAGTTTTGCTTACCAGTGTGATGAAAAGATAGGCACCTATACTTTCTGGCAGCGTTGGTAACTGAATATTGATATAACAGACATTGTTGGCTCACCCAATGCTTGTTTCTAACACTCTTCTGTCTTACATGTCTTTATTAAAGAGGATGAACAAACTAAAATGTTCATTTACCAGACCATTGTAAAGCTGGAGTTTGCTTTATTATAATACACAGTTCTGGCCAATAAAGTGTAAGCAAGAGTATGCTGTCACCTCCTCCCCCCCACTTTCTCTTTCTCCTTCCTTGAATGATGATGTGCTGGCTGGAACTACAGCAGCCATCTTGTAGTCAAGTTGAGAAAACCAGGAGAATGGCAGATAAAGTGACCCTGATTTTGTTAAGACACTGAAATAATGCCATGAACTTCATACCCACCAAAACTTATAATATGCAGAAAATAAAGCTCTATATATGTTTAAGCCACTATAGTCAGGCTTTCTGTCATCGGCTGTGAAAAGCAAAGCCTAATTAACACAACTAAGCTGGGGGAGAGGAAAATTGGGTCTCTGTTTTATTAAGATGCACTTTGAAACTAACCCAAAGTCTTGCTGCTGTGAGTACATGGTAAGTGACCAAAGTATATAACAGAATTTCTAAATTTTATCCACCTGTTTCCCCAAACATATCCAGGGAGTGAATGCACCTCCTGGAGCAAAAATAAAATAAGAATTTAAAAAATGCTCATGACCTTTAACAATGGGAGAACATAATTTAAAGGCATTCCTCTGTTCGTTACTCAGAGAAATGAAGTTTCACTTAACAAATACAGTAAGTATCCAAGAGACACTCCGTCCATGCCTTTCTATACCCACCCATTTATAACCATTACTTATCCATTTTTAATATATGGACGACATGCCATATGACAAGCTATGTATTCCATGCCAGGGATGTAAAAAAAACAGATACTGCTCAGTCCTTGCCTTTGAGGATTTCACTCCAGGCTGGGTGTGGGAGGTAAGAGGAGGCCATTTGGATAAACAAATGTTTTTTTTTTGGGTTTTTTTGGGTTTTTTTTTTTTGCAGTATGCGGGCCTCTCACTGTTGTGGCCTCTCCCGTTGCAGAGCACAGGCTCCGGACGCGCAGGCTCAGCGGCCATGGCTCATGGGCCCAGTCGCTCCGCAGCATGTGAGATGTTCCCGGACCGGGGCACGAACCCATGTCCCCTGCATCGGCAGGTGGACTGTCAACCACTGAGCCACCAGGGAAGCTCCTGGATAAACAAATGTTTTTGATACTGTGTGAGAGTAAAAAGTATAGAGTATTCAAGTGAGATTCATAGTAGAGGGTGAAATAGAGTGTTACCCAAGACCCCACAGCCAATAAATGGTGTAAGTTCCTTTATTCAAGGTCTTCTGCAATAGTCATTTTATAATAGCAACCATTGGCTGAAATAAACAGACCAATATCGGAGATATGGGACTATTTTTGCATTATGAAAGCACTATCATTTTGTCTGCTGTTGTACAGAAGTTGACTTGTATGAAGAAATTGCCCCTGACCTGGCAATATGGTGCATGCTGTGAGATTTATTTCCCCCAGGACTCTTCCTTCTTTTGGCCTGTTGTCTGTTCAGCTGGTTGCTGGGGTTACACATGTAAGAGGAGGCCTCCTGCTTCTGACTGAGGAGGAGGGTGTGACCAAGACAGCCCTTCCAGAATGAAGAAAAGCAGCCAGGAAAATGGGCAGAGGAAAAGTATCAGCCCTCAGAGCTGTGGCACATGGAAAGAGACTGAGATTTTTCTCTCTCTGTAAAAAGTGCTCTTTTCCATTGACCTAAGGAAAATAACTTGTTAAGCACGTCTTTCCCTTCCTACTGCCGTTGTTTATGGAACAACAGACTTCCCTTAATGCTGAAGTAATGTCTCCTTTCTTCAGGAAAACAGGTGTCCAGACATGCAGCAAATCACATTTTTAAACAGCTAAAACAAGCTGGGACAAAGTGAGAGAGTGGCATGGACACTACCAAATGTAAAATAGATAGCTAATGGGAAGCAGCCACATAGCACAGGGAGATCAGCTCAGTGCTTTGTGACCACCTAGAGGGGTGGGATAGGGAGGGTGGGAGGGAGGGAGAGGCAAGAGGGAGGAGGTATGGGGATATATGTATATGTATAGCTGATTCACTTTGTTATAAAGCAAAAACTAACACACCACTGTAAAGCAATAATACTCCAATAAAGATGTTAAAAAAACAACAAAAAATAAATTTAAAAAATAAAATAAACTTGAGGACTTTACACATTTCTTTATCCTTTTACCTAGAAATTCTTTTGTGATGCTTACAATTTCCCGGCTTGGAATTTTTTTTGCCTTGGGATACTTCTGGCCAATCTTTTCAAATTTTTACTATCACATCCCTGTCTTCTTTTTTTTTTTTTTTTTTGTGGTACGCGGGCCTCTCACTGCTGCGGCCTCTCCCCCCGCGGAGCACAGGCTCCGGACGCGCAGGCCCAGCGGCCATGGCCCACGGGCCCAGCCGCTCCGCGGCATGTGGGATCCTCCCGAACCGGGGCACGAACCCGTGTCCCCTGCATCGGCAGGCGGACTCTCAACCACTGCGCCACCAGGGAAGCCCATCCCTGTCTTCTTGATCATTCTTCTTTGGATGGAAAATCTGTTTCTTAAAATGTAATGTTCAACAATTGATTCTTTTTCATTTAAGTCAAATATACTTCATAAACATGAAGACCTCAGGACTACATTGAATGCTGTCATATTAAATATCTTTATAGGATGAAGGAAAGAAAAATTGAGCTATTACTGATCAATATTGGGGGACTTTGAAATATTCCTATCATGACTTGTCTAAGTATATGGAGGGAAGAATTATACTCCCTTTTATGAATGAGAAAATCAAGGCGAATGTTCATATATCTAAGATCACACAGTCAGAAAATAGTAAAATCAGGATTCAAATCCAGTTTTTATCTAACTTCAAAAACCATGCACTTTCTACCTCACCATGTAATAGAGTTCCTCCTAGACTACATAAAGCACTTTGTTGAGTAGTTAAGTCAGAAGTGATTTATGAGGCTCTATTATGTACTGGCTAGGAGGGCATGGATAAAGTATCAGTTCTGTGGGTCTAAATCCCCTTCTCTGTAGAATGGGTACAGTAACAATATCTACCTCATAGGACTTTGTTAAGGATTCACTGAGTTAATGCATGTAAAAGGGCTCAGAACAGTACTGGACATAGTAAATGCTCAATAAAGTTGTTTGTTCATTGTTATTATTATCTGTTAACTTCGCGAATAATAGCATAGCATGAATGTCATGGCTTTGCTTTCATGTGTTATCTTAGTACAGCTGAATAGGTGGTTCTAAATAAATGGTGGATGAGTTTGTTTGTTTTTTTAAGTTCTTAGTGTTTGTATGTGAGAGATCTCCCTCATTCTTCTCTGTTGGTTGGCAAATTTATGGGAGAAAAAGGGTATCTCTTAGTAATATTGTTTACAGACTTTTCTTTCAGCTGTGAAACCCTTTTGTAAAATACAGATAGAAGCACTGCTGCTTTATCTAAAGTGGGGGGAAGTGACTCCTGGATCTCCACGCACACCTCCTGCCCTCTAGTACCCCTACCCGGTCATTGCTGTCTTGGGAGTAATTCTGGGAAATCCTGAAGGTTGATGTAATGCAGACTGAGAACCACTAAGCCACAAATCCCACAACAAAACACATTGGGCAGTGACTGATAAATACTATTAGTTCTTAATTTCTGTGATAGACCTATGTCCAGGTGTCCTTCCTCTTAATCTCAGGTTGTCTTCACTTGGTTTCCATCCTATACTCACTGTTGAGTGCTTTGTTTAACTGACAGGGTCTACAGTTCGGTACCGGTGAACTGGAGGAGATGGGATCTATGTTCTGCTTGGGCCTCCTCATCTTGAAACTCAAATCTGTAAGCTGTAGCCATCAACTACTGACCTGTGCAGCAGCTCTACTGAATGCTGAGGAGTCATCTCTGGACCACCACCTCCAGCGGTAAGTTGCTCACTGTTTGAACCTTTGTGTTTCCATTGGAGAATATCTGGGAAGTGAAAGTCACGCGGACCTATGGGTCTTTGACAGAGAGAAAATATGGAGAAGCTGCCAGATCAAGGTAGGGTAGTAGTGCTCCATTGGAACCAGACTCGGGGCATCCTTACTTCCTGC